GATGGATGGATGGATGGATGGATGGATGGATGATAGACAGACAGACTGACTGACTGACTGACTGACTGTTCCACAGTTTCAAATGACCCCATATAGGCAGTTGTATTTTTTCATTTTGGCAATGAAGTCTAGATTCCAATTATTCCAAATAATTTCATTTTGCAAAGTAGCGATATTTAGTTACTCGTGGGATTCAACAAGCTCCTAGTGGTTCAAACATGCTAAGAACAGCTCAATGGATTGAATGACAAATATAGTCAGTTGCAACTTCTGTCTAAATAGGTTTCATTATCTCTTTGTATCTTATTGCTGTTTGTTTATAATAAAATGCTAAATGCAAACTGTCATTGCATTTAGCAAAACTGCCTTAGCACTTTTTCTCCTGTCAGCATCTGTTCTGCTTCCTGTAGCAGCTAATTGTGAAAATATGGTTAATGTTAAATTGGATCCAGAATTGTAAACTGAGCTTCTATGAGTTAAATGCCCTTATTGGGGGAAATGTGTTGTTAGCCTGGGAAATCAAGAATTACATTAACCACATCTTTCTTCATTTTTACTTTCTAGTACCCTGAGAAAGCTATCATGGATTTGTTTGTCTTTGGTTTTGTTCAGTCATGCTTTAAAAACATTGCAGAGGAACTGGGATTGGGAATCAGAATATACATTATTTATGTCTGCTTTAAAGGTATAGTATTATTATTCTAAACTCTTATTTCTGATAATAATGCATTCTTGAAGAATTTATGTCAGAAAAAAGTACTCCTGGATTCACAGCCTCTGATTCCTTAGTTTTCAGAGCATTCCCCTCCTCTCTAGGAAGGATACTGGAATTGATAAATGTAGCTTGTCCTTGGTTAACAACTGCTTCATTCAGCAGACACTGAATTCACAACAGTGCTGAAAAAGTAGATTTAAAACCCTGTCCCTGAATCTATTACTGTCACAGTGCTTCTGTGGTAATGTGAGGACTATTTAGTCACCTTGCAACCAGCATGCATTTCTGACAGCTGCATCCCACAACCTGTGGTCATTTATTACCTTCTTCGTTGGCTTCTGACAAGTAAATTCAGTGGGGGAACCTGGAAAAAGCCACTCATGGTCATGACATCATGATTAATGACTTCAGATTATCTGCTAAACAACTGCAGCCAAACTGATATAGGTTGGGTGCTGTCACTTAATAACCAGATTGTTTAACAACAAAATTATCAGTCCTAGTTGTGGTCATTAAGTGAGGACTGTCTGTAGATGAAAAGTCAGGGTTACTCTACTGTTCTGACCCACCCCTCTTCTCCGTCCAGGAACAAAAGCCAGAACAGACGTACGAAAGAATGTTTTAATCAGTCCAGACTCTTGTTGGCTGCAAGCCCAAAATAAACAAAGAGATAAGCTCTCTGGCAGCAAT